GAAAGAAATGAAATTGGACTTCTTATTTACACTATTCACATGAATCAATATAAGGTGAATTAAAGATCAATCTTTGAAAGGCAAAATTCTAAAACTCTTAGAAGAAATTATTGAAGAATTTCTTTATAAAATCAGGGTAGTGTATCAGTCAGGGTTCAGTCAGAGGAGCAGCACCAGTAGAATGTGGGGTGAGGGGTGTGTGTGTGTGTGTGTGTGTGTGTGTGTGTTGCACGCGCGCACACGCGCATGCGTGTGCATGTGCATGTAAATGGATTTGTTCCAGGAATCTGAGCTTCTTGCCTCTTTGTGAGGAGCCACTGTCTTCCCATCTTATCTTGAAATCTAAAGTCCACAAGGCAGGAAGTCAAGAATAAAAGATATCAAATGTACTATGAGGGAGAACAAGAATACTCGGAAACAAACACATAGTCACAAGCTGAAGCTCAGGAGGACAGACTGAAACCTGTGTTGGTTCTTCTTGTCTCTGACCTTCATGGTAGGGTATCTTCCAGAAGTCAGAGCTCTTTGTGACAGAGCTGAACACAGTTACCTGGCCAAGGTGTAAGAGAAGCTGAAAAAGGGTACAGGGGAAGATGGAGTAGTTTCAGGCATGGCCACTGCCTCGTGCCAAGATGAGCTGGTAGATCAGAGACAATGTGTGTCAGCTGCAAAATGGCTGCTGGTTCACTTTTCCCCTCCAAGTCTGCACAAGAATTTCTCTTGTAGTTCACCCTAACTAGAAATATACATAAAAGGATGGAATCAGGGGAAGCCAAACCCAGCCACAAGTAGGCAAGCTGCCGCCACCACCCTGGGGCCACACTGGGGCCTGAGATATGGAGCCGGGGGAAGCCGAACCCAGAGGCAATCAGGTAAAGAACACACCAAAAACACCATTTCCCCGCCGGTAGACCACCATAGCCACCACAATTGCCACGGCTGCCACAAAGCAGCTAGGCTCTTTAGCAGCAGTCACAGCCACCATGCAGATGGTACATCAGGCTCCCTATTGTATAGTCACAAGGAGAGGCACCAGCAGAGACTGCTAAAAAAAAAAAGAAAAGAAAAAAAAAAAAAGAAAAAAAAGAAAGAAAGAAAAAAGAAAAGAAGGGGCCTCTCTCTCCACAAAGAACACTCCAGAGTAATAGAAGCAGCATCAGATCTACGATAATAGGGAGGACTTGATCACACCTGTCTCAATACTGGACAGATCATCTAGGCAACAAACTGACAGAGGAACAGTTAATCTATCAGACGGAGAGAACAAATCTAAGGTTATTAGAGAGAGGAGGAGGAAGAGGAGAGATTGGATAAGTGGCATAAAGAATAAGTATGATTTCTAACAATGAATATGCTAGTAAAAACTAAATTTAAAAAAAACGGGAAAGCTCCCTAACATTACACAACTCTGAAATCATAAAAGAACAAAATCTATTTCTCACTTAAAAAAAAAATACATAAAAGGAAATTCGGGGAAATGTAGTTCGGCCTAGCCAAGTTGACATATTACAAAGCCACCAGAAGTAGGAATATTTTTCTTAAAGACACAATAAGCAGTTGTTACAGTATATATGCAAGAAATTTTATTCAAGAAAAGATGAGCAATGTTTTCTGAGCTCTTGTATTTGAGTTTCTTGTATTCATTCCTTGTGTGTATACCTACACCTTTTGTTAAAATGTGCCTAGATATGATTCTTGTGGCAGATATCAGCAGCCTACCCAGTATCCACTTTTCTTTCTTACCAACAGAAATTAAATTTTATTTGAACAGTACTGTTCCCAGCCTTCATTGCAATTAGAGGTGGCTATTTAACACAGATTTGGCCAGTGATTAATGACACATGAAAAGAAGTTTTGCTTTCCTAATATATTTCCTTATTGCTTCCTTCTTTCTGCTCCAGAAACTAGAATGAGACATCGGGAGTGAAGCCTTCATGTGACTATGTATTCCTTCTCCTTTCATGTTCACTGGCAATACATCAGTGAAAAGAAAAAAGTAAAAAACTTCGCCTTTTGTGTAGTTTAAACTCTATTATATATCAGCAGACAACAATAAAATTAAATAAGTACAATATTTAGAATATTGATAATAAAAAGAGCTGTGGGAAAAATGTTAAGATTATGGAATTTCAGGAGGCTGGTGGGTGCAAAATTAAACAAGGTGGTGGTAAATACTTCACTGAGAAAGTGACATTTGAGTACAGACTTTAAAAAAGTGAAACAGCAGGCCATTCGGTTAGGTAGAGGAACATTCCAGGTAGTGGGAAAAACTATTGCAAAGGCCTGAGCTGGGAATGTGCCTGCTAAATTTAAGGAACATTTAAAAAGCAGCTTTTTGGTTGAAATTCAGTGGTGATGAAGGACTAGCAGAAGAGAGGAAATGGGACATCTGCAGGGCTTTTAGGCCATTGTGTAGGATTTGGCATCTACTTTGAGAGAAATAGAAAGCCACAAGAGTGTTTTGAACAGGGGAGTGACTTGTTCTGATTCATATTTTTAACAGCTTTTGGCTTTAGACTTTTTATTTTGATCTAAATTATATTTACATAAAAATTGCAAAAATAGTAGAGTTTCCTTATATTCTTCACACCTTTCCATAATCCTAATGCCTGACATCAAGAACAGGAAAGTAACACTGGTACAATATTATTAAGTAAACTATAGACCTTATTTGAATTTCACACATTATTCTCATTTATGTCCATTTTCTATTTGGGCATCCTATCCTGGGTCTCATATTGCATTTAGTTGGATTTTTTCTTCCAGTCCAAATTTTTTTTTCTCCTTACCTTTCAAGACCCTGACACTTTGAAAAATTACCAATCAGTAATTTTGTACAATGTCCCTCAACTTAGGTTCATCTATTTTCTCATGATTAGAAGGTGTAATGATCTGCTTGTGCTGCCGTACCAAAAAACAACAGAAAGTACAGATTAGGTGGTTTAAACAGTAGAAATTTATTTGTCACAGTTCTGGAGGCTGTGAAGTCCAATATCAAATTTCTGGCTGATTCAGTTTCTGATGAGGTCTCTCTTCCTGGCTTGAAGATACCTACCTGCCTTCTCACTGTGTCCTCACATGGCCTCCTCTGTATGCATGTGGGGATGGGTAGGGGGTTGGAGAACAAGCTCTCTGGTGTCTCTTCTTATAAGGACACAAATTCTATTGGAATGAGGGCCAACCCTTATGACCTCAAGTAATTATAACCTTAATTTCTTCCGTAGAGGCCTCATCTCCAAGTACAGTCACACTGGGGGTTAAGGCTTCAACATATGAATTTTAAAAGGAGGGCACAAATGTGTCCATAACAGAAAGATTTGTGCAAAATTCTTTCTCTATGCATCATATCGAGGGACTCATGTTATGTCTTATTACTGGTGATGTTTACTTTGATCACTTAGATAAGTTGGTATCTGCAAGTTTCTCCACTATAAAGTTACTGTCTTTCCATTTATAGTTAATAAATACCTTTGGAGAGAGATTTTGAGACTATGTTAATCCCGTTTGTCCTCAAATTTTTGCCCAGTCAGTTTAGCATCCATTAGTGAATTTTGTCTGCAACTATTATTACTGGGACATTTGCAATGATAATTCTCTACTTCCTCTTTCCATCTGCATTTATTAATTGCAATTGAGCTGTAATAAAGAGCTACCCCTTCTTTCCCATTTTATTTTTATATTAGTATAAAGTCATAGGTATACTTTATTCTAGGGGTTAAATACTATCATTACTTGTTAAAACTATCTCAACTCTGGTTATTAGGAGCTTGAGTTTTTTTTTTTTTTTTTTTTAATATAAACGCCCCCCTTTTTTTTGGGGATTTTTCCCTTACACCCTAAAATGTTTTCGGGGGTTTTTTTTTTTTTTTAAAAAAACCCCCCCCTTTTTTTTGGGGATTTTTCCCTTACACCCTAAAATGTTTTCGGGGGTTTTTTTTTTTTTTTAAAAAAACCCCCCCCTTTTTTTTGGGGATTTTTCCCTTACACCCTAAAATGTTTTCGGGGGTTTTTTTTTTTTTTTTTTTTTAATATAAACGCCCACCTTTTTTTTGGAGCATTTACCTCTGACACCATAAGATGTTCTAGGCTGATCTTGTATTTTCCTTGCCCAGCTCTGGAATCAACAACTTCTCCAATGAGCCCTGGTTCCTTATGTTGAAGAATGGTGTTTAGTAACCAAAATCTGAAGCTAGGTGTGCTCACTCTTCTGGAGCATCACTGCTTCTAGGCTGAGTTATGCAACATATGAATGTATATTTCTTAATTCCAATCCAAAACCACAGGGTGTATTTTAGTCTTCCTCCTTTCCTTACAATGTCTTTCTCCAATAGTCAGAAATCTGGCTTTCATTATCCACAATATATGTACCTATCTGTTCAGTTCTAGTATATATGTAAAGGTAGTTTCAGGATTGCTCTCTCACACACCTGTGAGAAATCCTTTTACTAAGTAGATTACAGCACTTAAGTACTGTTTTTTTTTCTTTAGCTTTTTAGGGTCCAGTCAAGATACCGCTCTATAGTTAACTTAGGTTAGTTATTTACTTCCTTTCCTCCTTTAAGTGTGGTTGTTATTCATTCTTAATACCATTTGCTTTCATTTGTTACTATTTGTATTCCACTTGGGGTTCCCCCTACTTCCTGGCTGGTTTTAATCATTCGTTTATTTGGGGATATGTAAAGGATATGTGAAACATTGCTATGATTCCAAGAGTCAGAGATATATTAAAAGATATAACCAGAGAAATGTTACTTCACTTCATTGTTGCTAACACATTTCCCTATTCTATCCCTTTTCCTGTAGGTATTCAGTCTCACTAGTTTTTGATTTATCCTTCCTGTATTTCTTTTGAACAAATGAGCAGATAACTATGTACTTTCTTATATCCCTTCTTTCTTACATGATGGGTAGGCACGCTACATATAGATATTCTTTTGTGCTTTGCTTTTTTCACTTTACAGTGTATCTTGGAAATCACTCCATATCAATTCAGAGAGCTCTTCCTCATTCATTTCTTACAGCTTTTTAATATTCCACTGTGTGACATACCATAGTTTATTCAACCACTCTTCCTTGAGTGGGCACTTACATTGTTTCCAATACTTTGCAATTAAAAATGATATTGCAATTAATAAACTTTTGCATTCCCACTAGCAATGCATGAATATGCTTATTTCCCCACAGAAAAATTATACATTACAATTTAAAAAGTACTAAATGTGACCATTGTTCAGCTCTATTTTTCAATCTAAGTGTGTATTAATAAACACACAAAAAATACATTTTCCTAGGAATAACACAACACATCACTTTAAGCAAATACATCAAATGACCTAAATTCTAAAACCCATTTTGGATTATAGAAAATTACTTTGTAAAGTTACAAAACAAGTGTCCCTCACTCTTGAGAATGTTTGAATATTTAAGTAATGCTGCTATAATACATTTTCTATCATGGAATTAAAAAAAAAACAAACAATGGTGAGTAGAAGGTATAATCATTTTATGGTAAAAATACCAAGCAAGTACATATACAAACCCGTGCTAAAGCTAAGTTTAGAGCTGATTTCCTCTTTTGGACTGTAGAATTTCAACAGTATACAATACTTATCTATTGTTGGAGTAACACCTAAGTGACTTAGCTAAAGATACAAACAATAACAAAAACCCTGAACAAATATTCAAACTTGGGGAATCTGAGTTAAAATAATAGAAAAATATAACATTTTTCCTTCCAAAAATGTTTCTAAGACAAAGATTCAGGTACCATGTAGATTACTCACAAGTCATATATGAATCAACCTTTTCTGTATTCCTTAAATAAAATTTTAAAATCAACTGATGAAAAAACATGTTTCTTATTCAGACTTTCAGAATGCATCTGTAATTAACTTATTAATACAAAAGTATATTTTAAAAACAGCTATTTCGAAGTCTTTAAGTATAAGACATTTTATTATTTTTGGTGCATCTTCTTACGCATTTCGTCAAGAGCTGCTTCTTTCTCTCTCAGCACCTGTTTAAGTCTTCTTATTTTTTCATCTCGAATGGTTTCTTCTAAGTCTGGTGGCATTACTGGGAAAATATCTTCAGTGTAATTTTTATTAAAGGAATGACTTTGTTCGAAAGCTGCATTTGAACTCAACGTGCCTTTCTCCTGCTTCTCATGAGTATAGTGTATTTTCTCAGATCTCTTTTCTCCTCTAGTTTTGGTGCGATTTGTGAGAATGTTATGTTGAGATACATCTGGAGTTGGTAAAATACTGCTAAGAAGTTGGGAACTGCTGACATTGACTGTGTTATAAGCATTCTCGGTTTTTCTCTTCTTTGTGTGATCCATCTTCTTAATGGTTTTTACTTTTCTTTTCTTATCAAAACTCTGTTGTGACATTGAGTAAGATTCCAAAAGAAAAACAAAATGTTATTGCCATATATATGTAGTGTACTCTTAAATTTAACAAAGTTTGCAGATATAAATATTTAGCAACTAAATTCAATTCAGTGAAATTTACTGAGGACAACTACAGCAGGAAAAAAATGGTTCCCACTGTATGGTGTCAGAATGAACATCAACGTCCTAATCATATTCACTGAGAATAAGTTGGTTAATTCATATTTTCCTGCTCCAATCAAGTATTAGAAGCCATACTGACCTACCAGCAAAAATGTAACAGCACTTGTGAAGCGCCTGAAAAATACAATTGATTTCATTTTTTCTATTCCTTTGCATAGTAAGCACATGTGAAAGATTTTCATTGAGAAAGTGTGAGTTCAGATTTTAAATAATAATAAAATATTCATAAGTTGAATGACAGTAGACAAAGTTATAGGGACATTTCATTATTATTGACTGTATAGGTTGCTTAAATGTTTGTACTACATAATACTGCAGTGAACATCTGCATGCTTATAGTATGTACTACACATGGATTACTTCCTTTAGATAGAGTCTTCAAAGTAGGATAACTAGTTAAAAAGCCAGGGCCACTTTCTTATATTGCTACAATGAACAACATAGAAGGTGAATAAAAACACTTAAAACAACATCTTTTACTGTACATGCATTTTACCATTTATGCATATATGGTTCTTTTTGGTATATTATTTTGGTATAATACACACATTTGCAAATTTGGTAACAATTATCATTCATACTAATGAACAAGGCTAAAAACCAAATCAAGAAAATAAATACATTTAAGAATCTTTTTAGTATCTACAAAGGACCCTTTAAAATCTATTACCTGTTTTCTTTCTTCTTTCTTTACCACAAACTCTGTCTCTTTGTAAGTTCCACTCTTCACCAAACTGTTAAAGGAATCAAAACCTTCTCCAGAGCCCAGATGGTCAGGAATTCGAGAAAGGCACACTCTCACATCTTTAGTAAGACCAAATATCTTTTTAAATTCAGCATCACTCTTCAGATATAATGCCTTACTACTTCTTCCTTGAGAATCTTTCTTGTTATTTCTTTCTTGAATACCTTTTTCTAATGTCGATGCCATCTCATTCTGGATCTGGAATTAAGAAAAGAAAACACAAACATACTGCTAATTACTCAAATTATTTTATCAGACTAATAACTGATTACCTCATCTTACATAAAAGAACACATCATGCTTTAAAATCCTAAATGGTTGGTTTACACTACCTTTGCCTTACCACCACTCAAAAAACTGAATTTAACTGAGTACAAATTTAAAATATTCCTTGCAGGGAATATAAACAATTCTTTATTTAATTGGTTGCACTAGAAAGGTTAACAGGTAGTCAATTCCCAAGCAACTGAAATGAAAATACAGACTAATGACAACTTAAAAATAATCTATATGACATTATTTAGAAATTGTAGTCTTCTGGAAAAGCCTTATGCTTTTAATCAATCTTGTACTTAACAATCAGAATTTATCTCCTTACATCACCAGAGTTCAATGAATTCTGTACTGAAGGGAAGAGATGCTGACATTATTAAGTTCACCTCTAAGTAAGCAAGGAAAAGGTGGGTATAAATACTTAATAAGCACACACACACACATAAGTAGAACAGACAGGTAACTATCTGAGTATGTTGGGTAATTGGAAAAAAAGTCAGAAAGAAGGGCTAAAAATAGGAAAGAAAACTTGTCCACCAAAGGACAAAAAAACCCCCAAAACAAACCATCAATGAAAGATGTTGTTAAAAATCCCATTTCCACAAATGACTGAAATGTACTGACTAGTCCTGTCCCACCCTTTCCATTGTCTACCCCCCAAAATTGCTAAGTATCTCCCCATCACCACCACCACACACACACAAAAAAAACCACACAAAAATCAGTTCTCTTATATGCAGATTGACCTCTTCATATACTAAAAGTAGGCTATTAAATACATATGTGCATATATATGAATGTGTACATATGTATGCATACACACACACACACACAATTTTACTAAGCTTTGAATTCACATTATCCTTCCCGGACCCTCTTAAACCTGTTCTACGATTTTTTGCTTGTTTTACTTTAAAGATTTAACATGCCAAATGATTCAACAGAAAGATATTGTTTGACTCTTCTAACTGGACTCCTCCTCAAATACTCAGATGAAAGCTTTGACTTAAGTAAGCATTCATGTGTGTATGGTACGTGTGTGGTGGGGTGGGGGACAGGGGAGAAAGTATCATAGATCACTTTGAGAATTAAGAAAGAAAAATTTTCTATATAGATATATAAAAAGAATACCCTGACATGGGAAAATTACCTTTGGTTCTTGGTCTCTGAAAACACACTGTTGTGAAGTAACAGTTGTTGCATCAACAGAGGAACTTATTTCCTCTATGCTCTGGATGGTATTTCCTTTTCTGGGGGCATTTTGTCCTGTACTAAATCCATCTGGAAAGACTGGCTTTGTAAATAAAGTCTTACTCTGTTTTAAGTAGTTACTGCATTGGTTCATATTATGTGGATTTGTGGTAGAAAGAGATGGTTTCTCCACTTTTTTATTCTTCTCTGCACTTAGATTGATCATGGAGGCAAGCTTGGTATTTGAAAGTGATTTTGTCTCCATCTGGGAAGATTTGCTTTTAGCCAAAACAATATTTACAACCTCTCTGGATATGTCTGTGACTGGGCTTGAGCTCACTATCTGTGATGTGTCTTTTCTTAGAGGAATATCAGGAGAAACAGAATTCTGTTGGTCATTTGGTGATGGCAGAACATCTGTCCCCTTTTTAGCCAATAGATAGACTTTCCCATTAAACATAACTAAAGCATTATCTTTAATAGGCATACTTTTGGACTGTGTCCCACTAGGATCGATGGTACTCAATGGTGGCATATTTATAGTATTATCTCCCAAGCTTTTCCTGTCTACAAAAGTTTTTAAAACCTTTGAAGCCACAGTGTTTGAAGACTTAACAGGAACAACAGATGGAGTACAAGGTTGTAGATTTTCATGAAAAATCCATTTCACAGGAGTAGCTTGAGAATGCTGATCACCTTTAAATTGTGTCTCTGTAGCAACATTCATTGGAAACTGTGTAGTATTTAGTATCAGTGGCTTTGCTATTTCTGTAACAGGTTTGGGGTAAATGTTTTGAAAGTTCTTGGTAACTACATTTTTCACTGTTTTTACAGGAGACACGTAAATAACAGTTGGCATTTGGGAGGCCTCAACTGTTCCTGAGGTACTTGTGGTTGCAGTTGCAAGTATCTTTTGCTGAACCAAAGGAGGCAATGATGACGCTGGTACAGATTTCACTTCAGCATGGGCTGGAATCTGTAAATGATGCCCAGAAGGCAAAACTGGAGACTTCACAGTCATTGGAAGGCTCTGAGTATTGACTACAATATAAGATGAATCATTTTGTGTTGAGGAGGGAGGAACAGCAAATGTTTGCATGGTGAGTCCATCAATTTTCACACCATGACTCTGAACTTTAGAAACTGATGAAGCAAATTGTTCAGTTCCCACTGAAGTAACTCTACCTCTTTCTGCTGAATCTACTGTCCTTGTAAGAAAATAGTTTGAAGAACTGGCTGGCTGAAAAATGGGCAATTGAACTGATGCACTTGTGGAAGAACTGGAAATCTGAGTCTGAAAAGTAACTTGAACTGGTTTTCCTGTATTCCCTTTCAAAGTATCAGACATGACTGAAGATTGAACTAGTGGTATAAGATTTCCAGAAGAATTAGGAATTGGAAGTAACTGCAGAAGATTTTTTCCATCCGAGCCAATCGTCTGAACTACTTGGTACATGCATCCTGAAACACTTAAAAGAACATTATAAGTAAATAAATACAACATACTACATGGTATATACATTTTATTTAAAAACAAATATTTGCAAATATTTTAAAATATTAAAATATAATAAAAGTATATAATTTTTCATTTTGAGTTTTCAAAGTGAAATGTTATAAAACAAAGATTTTGAAATAGAAGAGATTATCAAAAATATAGTTAGCTTTGATTTAGATCTTCTCAAATAATTAGGCAATGGGTATGAGATATTAACATTTACTCCTAAAACGAAAAGTAGACATTTCTAAGGTTTTACCTGTATAAAATAATGCCACTAGAATAGGTTCCTCTTAAACTATTACCAGCATCCCTTCTCCTCCTACTTAGGGAAATATCCTCTTATTCCCCTTTTTGCACTTACTGATCAGGATTCTCATTCCACCTCCACTTATGTTTGTTCTATTTCCCTCTATTTCCCCCCAATCTGTCATCTTCCGACTGACAATGATTCGCAAGTTCTACTGTCAGCCATTCTTCTTTTGCTTAAGACATCTCTTAAGGTGATACCTTAGTCTGCCACATTTTTGTATCATAGACTTAACCAAGTTATTCATATAGAAACGATTTTCTTCTTTATTGTTTCAGTGCATTTGAAGTTTGGTGCTAAATAGTCCTCGGTATAGCAATTATTTATATTAGTTTACTATCAATTGCCTATGAATCCATACATATATTACCATAATTTTAGCTGAATAGTTTTCAATCAATATGGAACAGAATGGAAATCAATAATTTATTTTTTATCCAGCCAATTTTGATCCTCATGCTTATGAGCTATTTCTTAGTACAAATTGTCTTAAGAAAAACCAATATATGCTAATTTGTGTGTATAATCAATTACATGGGGATTACTTCAATGTAGACACCTCAAGTTATTTATACCTAAAACTATCTTTCAGCCCCTTGAAAATACTGAGCTCTCATGGGACTTAATGCCATTGCACGTTATCACTCCACTTAGGCACTCCTCCCCCACCCAACTTTTCACTTAGGTCAAGACTCAGCATAAATTATATTTCCGAAGAGATACATTCTCTGACCACCTTGACTATCCTTGCCATTCCTTCATAATTGGTCTATGTTACATCTGTTAATTTCCTTCATGATACATATCACAGGTTGTCACCATATATTAACTATGCTAGTTTGCTTGTCTATAGACTGTCTCTCATGCTAAATTCTACCAACATGAGTGCAGAGTCCACATCCTACAGACCCAGTAGGGTCTCAGATGACTAAGGTCAAATGAAGAAAAAAATTCAAGGGCAAAAATAACAATAATTATTAGGAGTCTCAAAAGCATAAAGGTGTTTTTTACTACTGATAGTTTAGTTTTAAAACTCTCAGGTAATAATAAAAATAACTGCCAAAAGTTCAATGCATCCTAGGAAGTGCTGGAACTCAGTTTTACCTTTCTGCAACCCAAATAACACCATCCTATCCCTACAAAAATTTAAGTCTTCTGAACACTTCATGGTGCTTCAAAATATTATACTGACTTTAAGTAAATTAAAAGTTCATCTCTAATGAGAAGCATGAAGCCAAAGAAAAGTGTGAATTCTTGCTTTCAAGGCTTAAAGATGAAACTCCACCTTCATCACCTCCTTGCCTCCCAAAAAAGCACATTTCAACTGGATGAAAACTTATTCAACATTAATGCATTAAACAAAACTTTATTGAGTGTCTGTTATGGTTTAGGCACCAGGCTGAATTATGGGAAAAGGATCAGTAAACTACAGCCTGTATATACACAGTCTCTGTATTTGTACAGCCTACAAGCTAAGAATGGTTTTTATATTTAAAATGATTGAAAAAAATAAAAAAGAATAGTATTTCATGACATAAAAATTACACAACTCAAATTTCAGTATCTCTAAATAAAGTTGTACTAGTACATAGTTCACACTCATTTTTTATGTTTTGTATATGGCTGCTTTCATGTTACGATGGTAGAGTTGAGTAGTTACAGCAGAGATCATATGGCTCAAAAAGCCTAAACCTACAACACTTACTATCTGGCCCATCACAGAAAATGTTTGCTGGCTCCCAGGCTAGATCAACCTAAAATCCCTTAAAGAACATAAACTACCAGTATGTGAACATGTGAACGGGCAATTATTATTAAGTCAGATAAGTATATGTATTTGAATGAATAACAAAATGCTTGCTCCTCTTCTTAAAATAGTCTGCTCCCAAGGCTTCCTAGAAAGGACATTCTCCTACCTCTGTAGTGACAACTCAGTCTTCTTTGCTAACTTATCCTATTTGAATAGACCTTTAAATGTAGTTCACCAAAGTTCAGACAAAACTCTTCCTAGTCTGTACTCTTTTCCTAGGTGATTTCTTTTATATGCATGACTTCAATTAAATTATCACATATATCGACAATTTCAATATTTGTATCTGTAGCTTCTTTGAGATTCAGGCATATATATCATTTCCATTCAGAATCTCAAAGATTCCTAAAACTCAACATGACCAGAATATCTCTGCCCACCTTAACCCTCAAAATCCCTTCTCCTTCAGTATTTTCTTCTTTGGTAAATAACATCTCATCTTTCTTAGATATTTAAGTCAGAGCAGATAAATCCTGTTTATCCCCAATATTCAATCCATCACAAAATCTTATTGACATTATCTCCTAAATTTCTGTTGATCTGTTCAATTCCTTCCAAATCAACTGTCACCACTGTAGTCCAAGCAAACATCATCTCTGGCTTAAACTCCAACAGTAGCATCATAATTAATCCTCTTTCCTTCAGTCATATCCTCTCCCTTTCAATTCATTCAGCACACTAATGCTGGTCCTTTCATGCCTAAAACATTAGAGTGGTAGAAGGAAAACCATCACTTCTGATGCCAAAAAATTGGGCAATTCTATTAAAGTTTGTGAGATGCCAAGGAAGACAAGGATTAAAAATGTTCACTGGAAATAACAGCATGAGGGTCAATTGATGGCTTTAATATGAGCAGTTTGGTGAGGAGAGGAGTTGCTGAGGAGTGTGAATATGAATATACCAAGTATAGACAACTCTTTTATGAACTCTGTCATGAAGAAAAGAAAGACTGGCAAGAAGCTGGAGGAGAAATGGGGTCAAAGAAGGGATCCTTCTTTTTTACTTCTTTTTTTAAGTTTAGATGAACCAGAACATATGTAAATGCTCATGTGAACCAGTTAGGAGGAAGAAACTTGCGAAAAGGAGAAAGAGGGATAATCAACGAGAAGGAGGTAGGAAATGGGAACCAGAAAACATGTAGAGGGACCAAACCTTTAAGAAAACTGGAAAAATATCTCCTTCCATTGGAACTTGAGGAAAGGTTAGGTACATTTGCAGGTAAACCTACAGCTTTGGTGTCAGAAGGCTGAGGTAATTTTGATCTAAGGGATTTTATTTTCTTTATAAAATAGTACAGGACATCATCTGCTAAGAATAAGAGCAAAAACAGGGAGACACTTGAGGAGAATCAGATTTGAAACAATCTTTGAGAATAAACTGACCACAGAAAATACGAGAGTTGCCAGGTAATATTGATGGCTCAGACAGACAGATAGTGTTTATGAATTTGTAGTGGTACCCATCTGTACTCTTGTGAGATTTCCCTTCTCTCACCAGGCATAGGCAAAAAGAAAGCATATTGCTGAGTTCATCCAAGGTTGGAGTGGCTTCAGAAGGGTACAACAAAAATCAAAGAGAAGCAAAAGACTTTAGGATATTGGTATTATTAAAATGATAAAATATAGAATTACTAGTCATGACAGATTAAAAGGAAAATTGTGAGCTAGGTACCAATTCAGTGATAGGAAGTTGGTAGATGATGTTAATGAGCCATAATTAAGAACATGCAAGAAAGCTGTCTTGAAGCCCACTCTTCTGCAGTGTTGTTTTCTTTCTTAGTATTCTACTAAAACCTCATTCTCAAAGATAACGAAATGTCTTCACAATTAAATCTGTCTTTACTCTATCCTCAGTCCCTAGGTTCTTTCTGTTGCAACTGATAATGCTAGCTAATTATCTAACTCTCTATCTTGAACCTCTTCCCTATTGTGGTTTTCTTGTGTACAATTTGTTTCTCTTGACTTTGTTAATGCTCCCTTTATTCTTCATTTTCTGCATCCAATTATGACTATTCCCCAAAGTACACTTCTTGACCCTATTTTTCTCCTGCAAGACAGTCTTTCTTAAAGACTGTACTAATTTTCATGGCTTCAACTATTTCCCTCAGCTATCTCCCTCACAATAACAACTCCCATAGTTATATCCTTTTATTCCTGTTCCCTAATATTGACCTTAGCTCCATATTTGTGATATCTTACCAAAAAGTTTCATTTTTAATACCATCACTTTAAATTCAACAAGTTAAAATTATTTTCTATTGAAAACCAGCACTCTATACTCCCATAAAACCATGTGGCAGCTATACTATCTAATATAGGTTTTAAATCACCTAGTCATCTGACTTTTCTTTATCATCCTTCTTATTCACTTTTGATTTGCCCACAGCACCTTGCACATGTTTACAAAAGGTAAACATTCAATACACATATACTAAATGAATCACCAAGTCTATAAAGTTTTCTTTTTAACAGATCTTACCCATATTTTCTTTCTGCACCACTGCAACTTCCACCATCTAGAACAGACCTTCATGTTGTGTCTAGCACTCATCGTTTCATCCCTATACTTTAATGTGATGTTTAAACTAGTTTTTCTGACTACTGCCACTATTGACTATGCACTTCTGGCAGATTAAAATGGTTTTCATCCTGTTACCTCATAGCTCAATGTTTCAACATTCATTATTGCTAATTCGGTTTGACATGAAAATCATCTACAATCTAGCCCCAACCAATCTCCACAACAGTACTGTCTACAGATTCTCAACATGAAATCTCTGCTGTTACCAGAGAGATCTCTTTGCTATTCTGGAACATGCCAAGTACATTATTTACTCTAAGTACTCTTTATT